GCGAAAGGGAAGACGACAAAGCTTCTTCACAAATATCACGGACCTTTCCGTCTTGTGCGCCAGGTAGCCGAGAACAACTGGGAGGTGGTAGACCAAACTGGGAAAAAACGTGACGTTGTGAATGTGGCGCGTTTAAAGCCCTGCCACGTTCGATTGGGCTCCGATGCCGACGACGCGGACGATGAGTCTGATGATAATCATGAGGTGCGCGATCTCGGTGGTGTTGTGCGTGAGTGCAGTACAAGGAGAGATGACCACGAATTGCATCAAAGTGTTGTGCGCGAGTATGGCTCCAATGGTGATGTGCACGAGTGCGGTTCGCGAGTGGGTCAGGAACTCCGTTTGCAACATTGTGTGCGCGGGACACACACCAGTGTTCCAGTACAGCAGCGCGAAAGCTACGACACGGACACTGAACTTTACTCGGACTGGAAGACATTTTCAAGTAATAACAACGCACAACAGAATGTCAGTGCTTACGAAACGGACACTGAATTGTATTGCAGTACCGATGAGTGAACCCATATATTTCTGTGTCCAATGATTTTGTTTTGTTTTTCATATGTTGTTTTATGTAATTTTTTAAAACATCTCACACACTTGTTGAATGCAAAACCTTTTTGTATAATTAGTCTATTTATTGTCGTGTTTTGCAGATAAAACGAGTGGGGCACTCTTTTTCGTAGGGGGGAGGTGTCGCGAGAGCAAGGTTTCCAGCTCCAGTATCTTCTCAGGAAATTTGTGCAAAACCAACTCCTGCTTCTTTTTTAAGTCTTTCTTTGTACTCTTCTACCTTTGGGTTTGTTTCTCTGGCCATTACAGAGCTTCGGCTTTCGACTTTAATGGAATGTGGGATAAATCGTGTTTTCCAGCCTGGGACAGGCGCCTACACGCTGCATTTTTACGGCTCACAAACCGAGCAGTCAAGGTCGCCCCGTTCGGGATTAGAAGGGGAAAGCTTACTAGGAAAAGCGTCTAGCGAGAGGCAGGTCCGGCGCCACCGTCGGAGTCTAAGCCATTGTTAACAGGCACGCGTGTCATTAAGAATGACATGGGGACGCTACCACTTAGCCTGACCGAGACTTAGTGGCGGCCGGTAAACGACCATATTCCCCCGCGCTCTTGTTAGGATGTCGGGGCGCCTCGCTGTCGCATGTACACCTGGTAAGCAATGGTGTACCCATTGCTCTTAAGGACGCTTCTAGAAAGCAACAGTTAATGAAAGAACTTACGGGGCCCGAGCGTGGGAACGGCCGCCGACGGTAGTCGGCCGAAGGAGGCAGCCCGGCCTGGTATGGGAGAGAGTGTCACGTGCGGAGGACCTTTCCCTTTGCGTGTTTCATTTTGGTAAGGAGGTTTTTACAAATGTAGTGCCTTTTATGAAAGTGTTTCTGTGATTGGTTGAGATGCTGCGAGTCCGAACATGTGATTGGTTTTTGTGAAGACTCTTTGTTCGACCAAGGGTTTAAAAGAGGATGTTTGAACTTGAAAAGTGAGCGGAGTGGAGTCGGGGTCAACGGCGGATCTCACCACCGGAGACCAGCTATGCGGGCCGAGGGGTATGCCACCATTTTCTATGTTTTGTCTTTGTAACCCAGTGCATTTTGTAACTTGAAGTTGTGTTAGCTAAATAAACCCCCAATGAGTGCTCCCCGAATTCATCGTGTTGACTTCTCATCGATTGCCTCCGCGGAGTTTCAACCACACTTATTCGTCTCCCTGGTCGTCCGATGCGCCTAACTTGAACAACCCCGACGTTTCGCTACACCCCAATCACGAAACATCGCATCATAACCGAAGAAAATGCCAGACCACTCCGTCAGAGTCCGTACAGGGTTTCGACGCGAGAACGTGAGGCCATGAAGAGACAAGTTGATGAAATGCTGCGGGATGACATTATCCAGCCGTCCAAGAGCCCATGGGCATCCCCCGTGGTGTTAGTGAAGAAAAAGGATGGGACCCTACGTTTCTGCGTCGATTATCGCCGCCTGGACAAAATCACAAGAAAGGACGTGTATCCTCTCCCACGAATAGACGACGCACTTGATCGGCTCCATAACGCCAAGTACTTTTCGTCAATGGACCTCAAGACTGGCTATTGGCAAATTGAAGTCGACGAAAGAGACCGAGAGAAGACGGCGTTTATAACACCGGACGGCCTCTTCGAGTTTAAGGTGATGCCCTTCGGCCTTTGCTCAGCGCCTGCAACTTTTCAACGCGTTATGGATACAGTACTGGCAGGATTGAAGTGGCAGACTTGCCTTGTGTACTTGGACGACGTCGTCGTGTTTTCCTCGAGTTTCGACGAGCATCTTCGGCGCCTTGAAGCTGTACTTCAAGCCATCAAGACTTCCGGACTCACACTGAAGCCAGAAAAGTGCAGATTTGCGTATGAAGAGCTCTTGTTTCTGGGGCACGTTATCAGCAAGTCTGGAGTTCGTCCTGATCCACGGAAAACAGCCGCCATCGCCGACTTCCCGCCGCCCACTGACAAGAAAGCCGTGCGCCGATGTCTGGGCCTGTGCGCCTATTATAGGCGGTTCGTGAAAAACTTCGTCCGCATCGCCGATCCTCTCACTAACCTTACCAAGGCCGACGTGGAGTTCAAGTGGGAAACGCCACAGGAACACGCTTTCCAGGAGCTTAAACATCGCCTCCAGACGCCTCCGTTACTTGCCCATTTCGACGAATTCGCCGAGACAGAAATACATACTGACGCAAGCAGCGTAGGTCTTGGCGCCGTTCTTGTACAGAGGGCTGACGGACTTGAAAGGGTTATTAGTTACGCCAGCCGATCGCTATCCAAAGCAGAAGCAAATTATTCCACAACAGAAAAGGAGTGCCTCGCCATCATCTGGGCTACGTCGAAATTTCGCCCATACCTCTACGGCAGGCCCTTCAAAGTTGTGAGCGACCACCACGCCTTGTGTTGGCTAGCCACTTTGAAGGACCCTTCAGGTCGTCTCGCACGATGGAGCCTGAGACTTCAAGAATATGACATTACTGTCATTTACAAGTCCGGCAAAAAACACTCCGACGCCGACTGTCTCTCTCGTGCGCCTGTCGACCAACCGCTACCCGACGACCCAGATGACGACTACTTCTTGGGAATGATCACTACCGACGACTTCGCTGAACGACAGCGGGCCGACCCAGAACTTAAGGCCCTAATAGAATACCTCGAAGGCAGGACCGCCGAAGTCCCGAAGGTATTCAAGCGCGCACTTGCGTCGTTTTTTCTACGAAACGGTCTTCTACAAAAAAAAACTTTTCACCGCTTCGGGCTAAGTACCTCTTTGTGGTGCCTTCAGCTCTGCGACCAGAACTCCTGCAGGCCCTGCACGACGATCCGACGGCAGGGCACCTCGGTGTTTCTCGCACGCTCGCGAGGATAAAAGAAAGGTACTACTGGCCGCGTCTTACCACCGACGTCACTCGTTATGTGAGAACATGCCGGGACTGTCAGCGACGCAAGACACCGCCGACAAGGCCAGCGGGACTTCTGCAGCCAATAGATCCACCTTGCCGACCTTTCCAGCAGATTGGTATGGACCTACTGGGGCCGTTCCCGACGTCGACTTTCGGAAACAAGTGGATCGTGGTAGCTACCGACTACCTCACCCGCTACACCGAGACAAAAGCCCTGCCAAAAGGCAGTGCATCCGAGGTAGCTAAGTTCTTCGTTGAAAATATCGTCCTACGTCACGGCGCCCCGGAGGTTCTTATTACCGACAGAGGAACGGCATTCACCGCCGACTTAACTCAAGCGATCTTGGCATACAGCCAAACAAACCACCGCCGGACGACAGCGTACCACCCACAGACCAACGGCCTCACCGAGCGGCTTAACAAGACGATCGCCGACATGCTGTCAATGTACGTCGATGTCGAACACAAGACGTGGGACGCCATTCTTCCGTATGTGACCTTCGCATACAACACGGCGGTGCAGGAGACGACGCAGATATCTCCATACAAATTGGTCTACGGAAGGAGCCCGGCAACGACGCTCGATGCCATGTCACCCAACGTCACCGACGAAGAAAACCTCGATGTGAGCGAGTACCTTCATCGCGCCGAAGAAGCCCGACAACTTGCGCGGCTCCGTATCAAGAATCAACAGACGACCGACAGCCACCGTTACAACCTTCGACGACGCTTCGTGGAATACCAGCCCGGTGAACGTGTTTGGGTGTGGACGCCGATACGCCGACGTGGACTAAGTGAAAAGCTTCTGCGACGGTACTTCGGACCGTACAGGGTGGTTTGACGTCTCGGCCCACTTGATTACGAGGTTGTCCCCGACGGCATCACGAACTCTCAACGACGCCGATCGCGACCTGAAGTCGTCCATGTCGCACGCCTAAAGCCGTTTCATGCGCGTTAACAAACTGAAACAGTGTTTTTTGTATTATTGTTGTATTGTAATTTATTCATTGTACTTTCCTGCATTATTATTGTACCTTCATCTTTAGTTGAAGCATCGAGACGATGCCTTTTTCAGAGGGGGGCAATGCCACGTTCCATTTCCCAAGCTTTTGTTATCGTCCCAAAACACCACACGATTCTCAGCGCAAACCGCGCCTGCAGTTTTCGAGAGGGTTCCGGACTGTAGTAGATCATTTCGATAAGATCACGCCCACTGTGCGAATGGTACAGATTGTTCTGGAACGTACGCCGCCGCCAGCGGTAACGCTATAACATTCGACGGCAAGGGTATATATAAATGCCGACGCGCTTCGCCGCTTGTCAGTTGTTGATCGAAGGCCGACGCTCCGTTCGCCGCTATCAGTCCGAGACTGCTATCTGTGCGAGACTGCTGCTGTAATTGGACTTTCCGTTTACCGGGCACAGGTTCGCCTAAATAAACAGTTAAATCCGAACACGAAGTCTCCTGTCTTCGGCCACGTCACGACCCCGTAATGCAGAAACAGTAATGCAGAAAGCAGTATCATAGAAGACGTAGATGAAATCGCTTCACCTTGATTATTTTTTTTCAGGACATGGAGGTCTTGGTGGACTTTATGTGGCGCAAACGACAACTGATTCGGTAGCTGCACGTAAGTGGATCTGCCACTTTATAATGGAAAATAATTATATATGCTTTGAGGACGGTATATTTGATTCATGCATGACAACCTGCGTATAATTACTCGAGAAAATTCGTGCTTTTTACACGTGCAAGTAACTGTTAAAGAGTGAGTGAGAATTTATTAGAAGGCAGAGAGGTCGGCCTGAGCTAGTTCGCTCTAGCCTGCTACTCTGCACGGGGGATAAGGGAAAAGGGAAGGAAAGAGGAATGAAGGGTGATGATGGGGACAAGAAGAGGTGGTGCGTATGTACAGTAGCCACTTAGCATGGTACCCTACAGTCTAGTTTCTAGTCCAGTCGTTTTTATAAAGTCTAGAACAGCCTTTGTAGCAGTTTTTGACACTGTTTGGTCGTTCATTGCTGACAATATGTGGCTTTCACTTAATGGTGTTCGTCCAATGCTTGCCAACGTTGCAGTTAGCATTTTTCTTTGCGCCACGTATAATGCACAGTCACAAAATATGTGAGCTATCGTTTCGCGCACTTGGCAGCGTTCACAATTTGGGCTGTCCGCACGGCCGATTAGGTGGGTGTAGTGGCGAGTGAAGGCGACGCCCAGGCGAATTCGGTGCAGTATATTAGCATGTCTTCGGCTGATTTTATCTGGAAGACGAAAAGTCATACCAGGGTCTGTTTCCCGCAGGCGCTTGTTCCGGTGATCTGGTAGCGACCAGTAAGTGGCAGCGCATTCGCGCATGAGTGATCTCAACAATTTGTTGACGTCACCTCGCGAGTAGGGTACTTTGACGTACATAGGAGCGTTGTATATTGCCGCTCTTGCTTCGCTATCGGCTGTTTCGTTGCCAACCAGGCCGCAGTGTCCAGGAATCCATTGGAGTGTAATCAAGTGACCACTCCTGTGTGTTAGGTCAAATGCTTGGACGATTCCTAACGTTAACTCGTAAAATTGGCCTCTTCTTGAGTAAAAATGGATAGCTTGAAGCGCTGATTTTGAATCAGACAGAATTGTCCGTTTACGCGGTGATTGGTCGTTCACAAATTTTATGGCTTCTTGTATAGCAACAAGTTCTGCAGCTGTCGAAGATGACCTATGATCTAATTTGTACTGTCGGGAAATACCGAGTTGAGGGATCTCGAAGGCTGCAGCTGAGGCGGATGAAGTTACGGATCCATCGGTGTAAATGTGCACAGAGTCGCTGTATCGGTCATCTAAATGTGCCAAGGTGAGTTGCTTGAGTGCAATATAAGAAACATGCGACTTATACGAAATTCCACGTATGTGAAGGCACACTAGTGGTTTAGTCAATGTCCATGGAGGCACTGCAGGGATTACGGCAGGTGCAAAGCCTGACGGGATCATGTGCCTATGCGTATCGAGGCATCGCGAATAGGTACAGCCTGGTCGGTCCACTTGTAGCGAAGACAAAGGTTGCTGTGCATGTCGGGTCAGCAGACGAAGGTGCACTCGAAGAGGCTCACAGGACGTTTAAACCTGTATAGGGTAGGTGCGGGACTCCTCTATAGTGCCAGAGGTGGACGTGCACCGTGGCAGGCTCAGTGCTCAGTGCTCGTGCCTGAAGGCTCTCTAATGTACGAAGGCACGTTGCCCGCATGCTGGAAAGCACAGGTGAGCTGTACCTTACTTAGCCCACAAGCAATGCCTTGTATAACTGCAGAAGACTTTTCTCCGAAGGGCCCCATCTCAGTCCTGCTATAACACGAAGGACATACACAAAACTGATTAGTTAGTTTCGCAGCACAGTCACATGTACGCTTTGACCAGGACAGGTTGCGATCAATGACGACCCCTAAATAGTGGTGGTGCTTAACCACGCGAATGACTGCTCCGTGAGCGAAGATTGGGTACCGCGACATTGATTTCTTCGTAAATGCCAATGCAGCACATTTTGCTATTGAAAGTTCCAGGCCTTGACGACGTAAGTACTTAGATGTTATTGATGTGCCTTGTTGTAGCCTTGCTCGCAGTTGTGATCGCGTTAATCCAGATGCCCATATGCATATGTCGTCCGCATACGCACTGATTCTGACAACGTCGGGAAGCTCAGCTTCAAGGCCAATGAGTGTTATGTTAAAAAGCATGGGGCTCAGGACGGCGCCTTGCGGAACTCCACGGCTTACGAGGTGCCTGGCCGTGTCACCATCGGATGTCGACATAAAAATGGTACGTCCTCTGAGATAGCTCCCTATCCATGCGTGTAGTCGGCCACCTACGCCGATGTCTTCAAGTGCGTCAAGAATGGCCTCATGGTAGACGCTATCGTACGCGCCCTTTATATAAGAAAATGGCCCCTACCAATCTCCGACGTTGTTTTTCCTTTTCAACAGAAGAAACTAGATCATCTACAACACCATCTATAGATGATCGACCACTACGGAAGCCATTTATAAAATCTGGTAAGCCGACATTATTCTCCAGCAGCCATGCCAATCTTGCCAGCACCATGCGTTCCATCACCTTACCGATGCAACTGGCTAGGGCAATGGGTCTAAAGAAGACAACTCGTGTGAACACTTGCCTGGTTTCAGTAAGGCTACTATGCGGCTGCACTTCCAACTCTCTGGGACTGTCGCTGTTTCCCACGTAGAGTTGTAGAACGACAAGAGAGCCTGCCTTGCTTCCTGGCTGAGGTGATATAGAGCCGAATAAGTAATTCCGTCAGGCCCTGGTGCGAACGACCATCGGGACGTAGAAATCGCAGCGTCCAGTTCGTGCATTGTGAATGGTAAGTCGAGGCGATCGTCGCTGGATGGCGGTGAGGCTAAATACGAAGGTGATATCGATGAGGAGGACGTACCTACGAGTAAGTGGCAGTAATCTTCTGCAACCTCTACTTCAGGTCGACCTTGCTTTAGAGCCAAAGATCGGAAAGGGAACAACTGTTGAGTGGGCGTCTGAAGGCTTCGCACAGTTTACCATATTCGAGACAGGGGTTTTCTGGGATCAAGAAAGCTACAAAATACCCTCCATCGTTGCCTATCGAGCTTATCGAGATGTCGCAATACATGTCGTTGTGCTTGGCGTGCTGTAGATAGGTCAGATGGTGATTTCGTCCTCCTGTATTTTCTCTCTGCCCGGCGACGAATTGCACGAAGGTATTCATAATGTGCGTCAAGTTGTGATCTTGGTAGCGACACATTCACAAGTTTTGTATGCGTTGTTAAGGCTGATGCAATTAGGCTTTCTATTTCAGATATAGATTGAATGTTCCCGTACTGAGCATTTACAGAAGCTTGGAATCCTGGCCAGTCTACGCTTTTCACAGGCCGGGGAGACGAACGACGGAATCCTTTTAGCTGTATATATGTAGGGAGATGGTCACTTCCATGTGTTTCTACGTCTACAAACCAACAGGTGGTAGGCAAGAGACTTCTGCTCACAAAACATACGTCTAGACAGCTGCTGTACGATGCGCCACGGAGGTAAGTAGGTGAGCCATCGTTAATGGACATAAGGCCCTGATTGAGCACAAAATCGGCAATGTCCCTACCGCGGGTGTTCGATGAGGCAGAACCCCACATGGGATGATGTGCATTAAAATCCCCAACTAATACATGTGGTCCAGGGCAAGCTTGGAGAACAGACAAGAGATGAGGACAGTCCACGTGGCTTCTAGGAGGAATGTATCCACCGATCGATATTGTACGTCGCTTGTGCTTTGTAGATAGGCAAATATAGTCGTTAGAAGCATGAGTGAGCCACGGCATGTCTCACGTACGTTAAATTTTGACGTACGCATATAATTACTTTGCTCAAATTTCGATCATCACGTGACCACAAAGTGACGTATCCGGATATACGAAACGACGACATCATATTCGGCTCACATATTACAACCAACGGAAATTTGTATTTAAATATCCGTTGTCGAAAGTCAGACAATCGGCTTCGCAAACCTCGCGCGTTCCACTGCATTATAGCAGAGGTGCGCACACGTTCATCGTAGAAATTCGCCATATTGTTTATGAAAGGGTCAGCAGTAGCGGTTCCAGCACGTTGAGGATCTGCACTGCTGTTTTCGCTCCTGGTGTGTGTAGCTCGTTGAGAATCGCACGAATAGATTTTAGTAGATGCTTCAGCATAGTTTGGCTCTTCTCAGTGTCTTGCCTATCATTTTCCGCCCTCTTTGAAGTTGCAGCCCATGATGTGGTCTTTTTTAGTGCTCCGGTCGGTAGCGAAGGCCACTCAGTATCTGAAGCATCGGCGTGCAACGCGGGCGCTGGTCCACTTTCTGCATCCCTGGGACGTGGTGCGTACAACATGGGTGTAGCGGCCTGATAATGCGCACGTGTATGGTCATCTGTTGCTGATGGTGATGCATCACTCCTATGTTCACTATGCTTTCGCTGGTGCCTACGTTTTGGACGACGTCTGTGTCGGTGGATGGACGTGACTGCCTTTCGGTGTGTCGAGTTGTCTCTGACCATCTTCCGCAGAGAGAGAGAGAGAGAGAGAAAACTTTATTTGCGCATAACGCAGAGCATTCCAAATGGTCGGGCCCCTATTCCAGGGCTCCGCTGGCCCTAGCCATCATCTCTACCCGATGGACCAGCCAGCGCTGATCAACAATGACCGAGCTGGACAGCAGCGCCTCCCATTGTTCCTCTGTGTTGTTCATGTTGTTGTGTTCTTCATTGTGATGCGTACCGTGATGTGAAACAGAGTTGGTGTGGCCCCACACCACGGACATATATCTTTGTATGCTGTGGGGTAGAATACATGCAGCCTGTTAAGTTCGTGTATGTGTTTGTTTGGATTCTGCGTAATGCCACCGATTCCATTGCTGTGAGTTTCTTATGCGGTGCTGGATACACTTTTCTATTGTCCCTGTAATACTGAAGAATTGCACCAAAGTTAGGGTCTAGGGGTGTTGGATCCTCTATTGCAGTGTGCAAGGAAGCTCGGTAATTTTTGAAGCCTCGACCCGCCTCATCCGCAAACTGGTTCCCGGTGACGCCCTCGTGCCCTGGCGCCCAGATAATGGTTTGGGTGTATTCAATTGGGAAGTCCTTGTGAGCTTTGGTTAGAATTTGGAAGGCCTTCATACATATTCTACCTTTTTCGTAATTTCTACATGCAGCCTTCGAGTCTGTGATTATTGTCATTGGGGCTTTTCGCTCCCTGCCCTCCTTGATTGCCAGCGGGATCGCTATCTCCTCCGCTTCTGTGATAGAGGCTTTGGCTATGGAGGCACAACTTGTGACGTTTCCTTTTCGGCCTGTGACCACGGCTACCATGTTTTCTGCATTTGCCTGATATAGTGCAGCGTCAGTAAATCTCGCTGTATTCAGGTATTTTGTCTGTTTATCTATGTAAACGGCTCTTGCTTTACGTCTTCCAGCATGTAAAACTGGGTCCATGTTCTTCGGTAGGGGACATATTTTGTACCAGGCTCTGACTGAGCACGACAATTCCTTAGCTCTTCCATGTGCCTGTACTTGTTCGCCGAGGCCGATCCTCTGAAGAAGTTTTCTGCCGCTTGGCGTCTGTAGCAGGCGGTTAATCTGGGTGGTTACTTGTGCCTCAGCCGACTCATCAAATGTATTGTGAAGTCCGAGCGCTAATAGTTTCGCAGTTGAAGTGCTTTGTGGTAGTCGCAGAGCCGCTTTATATGTCATCCTTATTATTTTGTCTGCTTTTTCTTTCTCCTCTCTATTCATGTTGTGGTAGGGTAGCGAGTATGTTAGTCTGCTGATGACTAAGCTCTTTACAAAACGAAGCACGTCTTGTTCTTTCAGTCCAGCACGATTGTTCGTTATTCGAACTATCATACGAACAGTTTGTTGAGCTGTTCGTTTAAGCATATTCAGTGTGTGGAGACATCGCTGATTGGACTGTAACCACATCCCTAAGATTTGAACAGTTGTTTTCTCTGGTATAATATTGCCGTCTAGCTTGACCTCAAGGCGGAGGCTCGGGTCTGTCCTTTGTTTTTTACTCTTGGAGAACCGAATGAGTTCCGATTTGTCTGCTGAGCACTGAAGCCCCCTTTCTTTAGTGTAATCTTCGATGGTTTTAGCTGCCAGTTGAAGCCGCTCTTCTTTTTCCGCCAAGCTGCCCTTGGTTGTCCATACAGTGATGTCATCCGCATAGAAGGAGTGTCGGATGTCGGGAATACCTTCCAATTTTTTGGCTAGACCAATCATGGCTATGTTGAAAAGCGTAGGCGAGATCACAGCGCCTTGTGGTGTGCCTTTGCTCGGTGGGTGGAAGACATTGGATTCGTCTTCTCCTAATCTGATAACACCGGTTCTTGTAGTAAGGAAGTTCTGTACATATTTGTACGTCCTTTGACCGCAGTTTGTCGCTGCTAGCCCATCTAATATGGCCTTATGGCTTACGTTGTCAAAAGCGCCTTTTATGTCGACGGCCATGACAATGTTTTCTCCTGCTTTTGAAACATTTGTTAGTACTTTCTCCTTTAAAAGTAGAAAAGGATGTCCTGTGTCAAAAGGTTCGAGCGGAAACCAAACATGGTGTTTGGCAACAAGTTATTTTGTTCAAAGTGCCGTTGAAGTCTGGTATTTATTAATCTTCAAACACTTTGCCTAAGCACGATGTAAGAGAGATTGGCCTGAGGTTTTCTATTGCCAATTTCTTTCCTGGTTTGGGTATCATAATTATTACAGCATGCTTCCATTGCTGAGGTATAGCGCCATTCACCCAGTGTTTGTTAATGAAATTTAGAAGCGCTGTTATGGCTTCGTCATTCATGTTGCGAATCATGGCATTGGTGATTTGGTCCGCCCCAGGCGCTGTGTTGCGTTTCATGCTGACTATTGCCGCTCTGACCTCGGCATGCGTGAAAGGTGCATCCAGTTCTGAGTTTGGGAGCCCAGTGTATTTAGCCTGGTAAGGGGCTGTGATGCCTCGGGCGCCGAAACACTTAATATAGATGTCTTGAAGCAGGTCATCTCGTGTGCCTGGATATGTGTGCAATAATCTTTCTAGAGATTTTTGTCCTTCGGCTTTAGTTTTCAGAGGGTCAATCATGGCTCTTAGGATATTCCATGTCTTTGCTGTTCCTAGGGTTCCATTTGAATCGAAAATTGTTCCCAGTTGGCTGTCGCGAGTTGATTAGCGTACTGTTCGGCTTGCTGCGTTATTTCTTCAATTTTCGCTTTGAGTTTCTTATTTCGCTTTTGCCTTTTCCATCTTTTAGTGAGGTTTCTTCTTGCTTCCCACAGGTGGAGAAGGTGAGCGTCTACTTCAGGGGTATCATCTGTTCTGGCGACAGTTTTGGTGTACATTTGCTTTTCATTTCGAATTACTTTGCACCACTCGTCCAAGTCGTCTATGGCGGTCACGTGCGCTTTTAGCGCTTTTCTATATGCATGCCAGTCTGTAATTTTGGCTGTGCCGATGTGTTTGCGGATTCGGCCGGTGCGGATTGTGGTGCTTAGTATGTAATGATCACTGCCCAGGTTTTCAAGGGTGTTGTACCAGTCCACGCTGTGGCAGTTTTGTACTATCGTCAAGTCCGGACTTGTGTCCATCTTCCGCAGGACGCGAATTTCTTCTTTGATCTTCGGGCACTTTTTCGACGTTGCTTCATGTGCACCAGAGCAGTTTGAGCATTTCAATGGAACAGCAGTATCGCAGTTTTCCACCTTATGAGACCCGCCGCACCGCTGGCAAGTTGTATCACTTTTGCACACTGCGCTGACGTGTCCCAACTTGCAGCACTTGTGACACTGCAAAGGCCGTAGCACGTAAGCGCGCACGGGATGTCTCACGTATCCAACCTTCACGCTAGGGGGCAGAGTCTCAGAATCAAATACTAGTTTGATGCAGCGAGACTGTCCGAAGCGACGTATGGTCACGATTTTGACTGTTGACGTCACAAGATTCTGCAGGTCAGCGTCTGTGATGTCAGCGTCGACGTCATTTATCGCGCCAGTCGTTGTTCCTTTCCCGTGAGCGACAAACGCGCGAACTGAAATACTTCCGAGCTGCGTGACGGCCTTCAGTTTGTCAAGAATGGTTTTGTTTGTCACATCAACTGACAATATGTTTTTCCTGCTATTCTTGCGAATTTCATTCACTTGAGCAAATGCTACACGCTCGAAATAATTAGTCAATGACTGCTTGTTTAGTGAGTTCAGGTTGTCTGATGTAGACATGGGTACATACGAGATGGTGAAACATCGCTTGCCTTTGTCTAGCGCCGGTTGTGGCTCCGCCGTTGATGACGTCCTGCGAAGCTTCCTTTTCAACCGGCGGGCATGGAATGTCCTGAAGTCGGCTTCCGATTCCATCTCTTCCATTGATGAGCTCTCGGTAGAATCATCACAAGGAGCAGATGCGCCAACGCGGTCACCCACATTCGGTCCATCCTTATGCAAACGGCTAGGGCCCGCTGTCTCGTTGGATGGATGGTCCCCCATCCCGGGGGGTGACGTCTTCCGTTCCGCTTGTTCAGAGAAAGTCAGGAATTCTGACAGTTTAAGAAAAACGATAGTTGTTCAAGGCAGAATTATGCCCGAACGCACTTCTTCTTCCTCGTCTCGGCGCATCAACTGTTAGAAGCACTAAAGAACTTCAGTGCTCCTGTGAAAACTTGAACTAAAGTAGGGTGGAATCATGCTGAGTAATGTAACGATCTAAGTAATGTAGACTGATCATTCAAAATAGCAATGTCACAGTCAGCTTACACCGGAGTTGTGATGAAAAATGGGCTAATGCGCAAAGCAACGCAATACTTCTGGGCGTTGTTACATTGACTAGAATGGTCGATGCATAAATAATCGACTGTGAAAGCACGCTTACTCTACTAAAGTGCTCTGTTCGCAGCCATTTGGCTGACCACTGTCAAAGTTTGCGGATATCAGCCTATTTTTGATAAGCGCGTGGACACTGCGTCCTGAAACGAGCAGATATGACGTGATATGTTTTCCGCATTTATGAGAACGGTGCTTTTTGTGTAAGGGTGCTTTCGATTTGTTTTCACTTCAGTGAAATTTAAATATCTAGAAATTTTATTGACACAGCTTTATGATAGTGTGCTAGAGCTGATCATTTAGGATGTAAGGCCTGTAATAAATATATGTCAATTTCTGCTTATGCTTCGTTTTTAGGCGTAAATAATAGCTTCTTATTTATCATCACTGTTTTATTAATTGTTGGGGTTTGGCATCCTAAAACCACGATGGGAATATGAGGGACGCCTTAGCGAAGGGCTCGGGAGATTTCGACTTCCTGGGGTTCTTTAACGTAAACCTAAATCTAAGCACATGAGCCTCGAACATTTTTTCCTCCATCGAAAATGTGGTCACTGTGACCGGGATTCAATCCCGCGAACTTCGGTTCAGCAGTCCAGCACTAAACGCCTTGACTATCAATAAACAGTTGTTTCCAATAAACTTTGTATTTTAGTTCAGTGCCGTGTTTGTGCCTTCATGTGGCCCGGTATTACGAGCTGCTTTACTGTGCCTCTATACGCAATCAATGACCACATGACCATACTTGTCTCATGGTATAGTGTTTGCCCAATTTTTCTGACCTCCTAACGTCGTCTAGTAATAAAAAAGCAGTACTAAAGGTTATAACTAACAGCTTCACGATAGTTCCCCTCATCATATGGGCACAAAAATATGTTGAATTTGAACTCTTCGCTTTATTCTTTAATACTTGCATCGACAGCACGTGATATAGAGTGGTGGTACGTGTGTTTCAGTGGGCAATACGGGTGCTGGCATAACAGGAGTGGTACTGCAAAGTCAGGCTGGCAAAAATGATAATAAGGGTGAGTACACCAACAGATACTTTACGAGAACGAATTCTGCAGCCATTTACAACGCGAGTTCAAGAACGAAACAGTTTTTCTAAAGTGTTATGCACCAACAAATACGCACGATTTTTATTCAGGATGTGTTTAAAGTTCCCCAGCGCAGAAGTACAACTGCTTTTTTATGCTCGATAAACAGAGTACACACAGTGCCAGTGAACAGCTGGTGAACAAGTATAGGGTGATTCTTTCAGAGCTGGTCTATATTATTTGACTGTATTTTTGTTACTGTGTATCCATTTCAAATGCGGAGCATATTATTTGAAGCGGTATGAGCCTTGGGACTGGAGAAGAAGAAGCACGAAAGCCGGGGGCAGGAAAGAAGAGAAGGATGAAGTTAGGAATGAAGCAGATTAAGATGGACGCCAGTTTCATACTGAAGCTATAATGCTGTTCCGTTCTTTTAGGCAGGAACACTACATTATATATTGTCGCACCTACTAGTAAATCGGCACTGGTGGAGTTCGGTGGCCGCTTTCACCTCTGAGAGCAGAGCGATGACATTATCAACACAACAGCAACAATCGGAATGGTCGTGGGGTGATCACCTGACCACATTAAACGACATTGCACAACATTACGGACTATACAGACGCAAATACCCACCACCACACAAACAAATGAGACAAAAGACAGGCCGTAACTCTGAGGTTATTACAAACAAATACGTACCCCAGCCCTGGTGATCCTACGCCTAGTGTTATCCTCACCGATACCCGACGGACGCGTGTAAAGCGTACAGGGGAAAGGGCCACAATGCAGCAATGCTTTGGGAGTGTGCTGAAAAACTTTAACGTCACTGCCGCCGCTGCCTTCGCGACGTAGTTTAGGCAGGGACGAACTGCCGAGGTCCAATTGCTGCCTGCTACCACCAGCGCGAGGGCAGGGGTCGGCCTCCAGCCGCGGCTGCGGTCCCTGTTGCCGATCGGCAGCGTCAGTCACGCTGCCGCTGGGAGGCGGCAGTCACCAGCGACGAGCTGGTCGACCAGCTTTGGGCCGTCCAGCAAGCTGAATATGCCGCCCAGGGTGCGAGGACTTTGAGCGGCCACCTGAGGCATAGAGATTTCTTAAATAAGAAACTCCATGTTTTCAACCAGTAATTCGGCACAACCCAACATCAGCGTCCCACCACTCGTTCGAGGCAACGTTTCTCCTTCATTCAATGAGCATTAAGCATTCCGAAACACTACCCAATTACGCAACATCCGCGTGATAACCCCCTCCCACTTCACCACTATGCTGCACATTTACTCCCTCGTGGGAAGATGCGCGCAGCTTTTTTTTTTTAATGAGGCTTGCGGAAAAACATTCAGGAAAATGAAAATTCATTGACCCTTTCCGTTTGTTAAGTGCAATGCCGAAAACAAAGAACACTGCGAATTACTATAGAAGGAAGTATGCCTAGTCCGGTTCAGCGTTCGTGTTAGCCAATGCCGACTGAAGTTGGTGGTGGTAGGTTTATCACTTGACGTTGACCATGCATATCCACAAGAGCGTCGCATCGCCTTGACTCATGCGCACTTGCGCGCTCCCGACATCTCGTTTGAAATTTGACGAAAGATCGTGATTTTACTTAGTTTTGATTTGCCCCCCCCCCCCCCCCTTTTAAAGGTACACATGAAAAAACTAGATGGGCCATTATATTTTCATTCTTCTTGAATGCTTTGCCGCAAACCACATGAGAACTGGATGCCCGAATCTCATAATCTGTATCAGAGATACAGCTCACTGAAATAGGCCAGTTCTAAAAAAAAAAAGAAAAAAACTTCACCCCGCAGAATTATCGTTACACGCACAGATACGAAGTCATTGCTGATATTTACATCAGATCTGCCATGATTACAAGGTTACATTACATAAGTCAACGAGTTGGTCGAAAGTGGAATTAATGAAAATAGGAACTTATACCTTGTGCGATGCTCTGTGAAGTTCCGGTATATTAGGCTTAAAAACTTCTTTGAGCACATTGGTTCCACTCTCATAGATCACGGTGTGCATAGGCTTCGCGCATTTTATTATGCATGTGCACATTCGTTGACAATTTCAAGTGTACATTAAGCTCAAGAGCAAAAAAAAAAGATCATACATTAAATAAAAAAGACGCATGTACTAGACAATGAAATTTCGAGAATCGCAAATGAGTTGTGCGGAAACCGGAAAGGTGTCGAAAAAGTTGAGAAAGGGAAAGAAGACAATCACCCGTTTTGTAGCACGAAGCCACAAGGAAATACGTACAGATTTCTAAAAAAAGAAAAGCTACATAGGTGTCAAAAATTCATCCTGATCTAGGATTCAAACCCAGGACCAACGCCTTTCCAGAGCGGTTGGATCTACCAATTTAGCTAACCAGGAAGCTAGCAATTGATAGCGCGAGGGGGAATTCATCGACCCCTCGAAGCACACATACACAAGCACTGCATGAGTTCTGCGGAAAACCCAAGATAGCGAAAGGGTTTCTCTTTCTTAAAATTTGAGAAATTTCACAAGTAATGTTTGAAAACAACATCAAGACAAATTGCTTTCAAATTATAATAGAAGTTTTAATACTTGCCCGAGAACTGCAGTAAATACAAGTAACACAATCAGCACCAACAAAAATTCAAGGCTGTACCATACAAAAAAAAAAAAAAACAACAGTCATCAGCTCACGGTCACGGCAGCAGTCGCATGTCACAGATATGTTCCTATATTATTTATTTATTTATTTATACTGTCAATCCCATCTGAGATCATTACAGTAAGGGCATATCCGACTTGTTACAATACAAAATACAAGTAGAAACATTCAATTACATGGAAAGAAGATATTGGAAGTTAACAAGGTAAATAAAAAAAAACTCAATAGTACACCATAAGCCATCATAACATATGTATTTGGAAGTGTCAATCTTCATATCTTTGTGAATTAACTGATACGTCAGTTTCAATCGCGCTAGCTTGGCTCGGTTTTGTAAGATGAGGATACCGGCTTGTTTTAGCAATGCTGTGGGTGAATCTTTTAGCCTATATTTATTGTAAACGGACCTTAGAGCATTTCTTTAAACGGCTTCGACTTTGTAAATGAGTTTTTTAGTGGAAGTAAACCAAACAACGTTAGCGCATATATACATTGCAAAAGAATGCTGTATATCAATCGGTAACTTGCCCATGTACCTTCCTAGTTGCCACCGAAGGTGAACAGGTCGGAGAGGAAAATAACGAAAGTGAACAGTGAACCGCAAAAAAAGGTATGTATTTTGCATAGTCACCGTACTACTACTTCATTTCCTACCCATTATGCAGAATAAACCTGCGCAGACAAGAGATGTAGATGACTATTGTGAATTGAGGCAATGTTTTGCATCTACATAACAACTACGCTTATTCGGAGACACCGAGCATGACTTCGACGTAGGCAGGAGTCTGGTCGACGCATAGAGTTTCCTAAAATTAACTAGAGGGTACTCTGGTGCTGTGATCGATCATTCAGAGACCGTGGGAATTTATTTATTTATTTTTATTTTCACCAAAACAGATACATTGGCGAAAAATGGGGAGACGGCAAAAAAGCTGCAGTTATTGCAGCTTGACTAAGCACTGTCCACCCTACGTCAGCAATGACAGGGTGAAAACGAAATACAATAAAATGAAAAAAAAACAAATAATATAAAGCAGAAAACAATACAAGCAGAAGACAAAGTAAATGACAGGCCAAGGTATACAAACAAAAAGGAATATTTTATAAACACATGAGCACAGTAATTCACAGAGTATGTATCATCGCTTTCGTACATAAGAGAGGTACACAATGAGGTTACACAAAAGAAATAACAAGGAAAAAATATATAAAGGTACACAATAAATGATGCAAAGCAATACAGAGTGACCTATGTAAACAATACAAATCTACACGAATAGTGTTTGCACATCGATATTGTTTAATGTGTCAATTGTTATGTCTTGCTCCTCGTATGAGTTCATTATAGTAGGTAGCACGTGGCTAAGTCTTTGGGTGCCGCGATTGATGCGAGATAACGGAATTTTCCACGGGGGTTAATATCGATGGAAGTAAATGGTTTGTATATGTTCAAGATTTGCAAGTGTCAGGAATGCGTCGAGTTTCCCTCTGTTTGCGCTAATATAGAATTGTAACAACCTGAATTCGTATATGTCATTTGCCTTAACAATTTTATGTTTAACGAAGAGTTGTCCTGTGTGTTCGAGGTATGATATGTTTTCTATTGCCCTGATCGCTCTTTTCTGAAGTATATTTAGCCTATTTAAATTTGTTGACGTAGTGTTTGCCCATACTAAAGCGCAGTAGTTCAAGTAGGCATGGAAAAGAGCCTGATATAAGAGCCGCTTTACAGTAACGGGCAAAAGACATCGACAACGATTCAGAGTGCCAACCACGCGTCTCAAATTTAAACTAATGTGGTCTGTATGCCCATTCCAGGACATATGTTCATTAAAAACATGAATTTGCCTAGTCTGTGCTTGCGGGCACCGTATACGCAGTTGTGGCTTCGTTTATTGCAGTGTTTTGGTTTTGTGTCGAATAAAAGAACAAACTGTTTTGAACTTCATAACCGATTTTAATTGGTGAGCCTAAAGGGCTAAGGTAGTGAAGCGTAACTGATAACTATTGCTGATTGCTGTTTCATGGCAAAACAGCTTCAAGCGATTCGAAGCCAAACTGAGCATAAATACGAAGATTAGACAAATCAGTGTACTATCCATCATTCCCATGCTCGCTAAAGCATCATGCATTGCAGTTACCATAGACACTAGCACCAGTGTTTCCTCTAGTGTACTTGTAGGAAACTCTATGGGTCGACGCAGGCGACTTTTGTCCGCGTGTATATCTGCATCTGCTGTCTTTGCCCAAGTCCCGCTGCATATAGTATGAACCAGCTACCCACGTAGAGGTACTATTTCTACATCTGCTGTATGCAGCACGTGCCTATAAGAACAGCAGAATTTCGAAACTTGCCTCCCCGCCGTTCCCGTTGCCTTTCTTGTTTTCGTTTGTAATGTAAAATGAAGTAGTTTTCAGTGATTTATATTTGTCGAGAGATAATAGGCAGGCCACGTTTGTTTTAGCTGTTTTAGGCTTAAAGTGATTCTGCTTGAAGGTCTGGCTTGCGAAAATGTTTGGTCAGTGAAATAATGAAACATAACGCCATCACTCTCAGCATGCTTTCAGTTTTCGTCGTCAATATTGACCAAGAAGTGTAACTTTTTCACATAAATTAGACACGCCCCACGAAAGTGATATTGCAGCAGGGTTCTACTTATTCGGGACACAACAGGATAAATATAAAAGAAAAAAGTATTAGCATTGCCAAACAAATAACGAAATTGTCACGTAGGGTAGCTTTAGAAGTACAATTGTGTTAGCCTTTTACTATGTGTACTGTATATGCGTTTAGTTGAGAACGCCTTATTGACAACAGAGTTCTACCAAGAGCAACATGGGCTGTAGCACCAAATTTGAGTTTATTTAATGATTACCTGCATACTGATACGAATGGGACATATCGAATCACTTATGTATCTGCCTGCATGCAATGTAATGAACAATATTTATATGCTCGCCAACTGCGTTTTGCCGCTGCGAGCTTGAAAAAAGTAACTTCATGGTTCGAGCTCATATGGATCACGACAGTACATTTGATTACGAATTGCAAGTGAGCAGGCTTTTCACACAAAAAAGAGTTTAAGGAAAAGTTTGGGGCCATGACCAATAAAAGGTTTACTGAAGTGCGAAGTAAAAGCATTTCAAGTTTTTTTTGAAACAGTGGCATTCTTGACCGATATTAGTGTAGGTTTCTTCTTTTTTTCTTTTTTTACGGGACAGCGCATATATATGTGCTCCAATTTGTTAACCTCACCATATATATCCATATATGTGATGGTTCGTTGCATTGTTTTGAAATCTCATGTCCTAACTGTTATGCAAAATTGTATATTTTATGTGCTGTTGACTTGTTATGCTTGGATGACGGGATCTTAGGTGCTCTATGTTCATTGGCTCTAAGGGACACGGAGTTGCCAGCGCCCTTTTGTGTGCCAGAATCACCGTATACCTTGTCAATAATAATAAAAAAAAATTGGCACATCACACGAACCTTGGGAATCGATGTTATACGAAAGCATGCGCATGGAAGCTGACTGTGTTGTCTTTTTTTTATTTAGCAAAACATTACAAAGTTGCGCCAGAGATATGTACAATTGCACGCACAGACATACGTCAAACAGCTGCATATGTTTTATATCGCGAGTTTTTTTACAACTGTGATATAACGACTGTATATAACTATATATAACAACGATGCCAACAGAAACACGGATATCAGTAACAAAAGCGGTAAGCTGATATGAAGCACTGCTGATCGCTTAATTGATTTATATGTGGGGTTTAACGTCCCAAAACCAACATATGATTATGAGAGACGCCGTAGTGGAGGGCTGCGGAAATTTCGGCCACCTGGGGTTCTTTAACGTGCACCCAAATCTGAGCACACGGGCCTACAGCATTTCCGCCTCCATCGGAAATGCAGCCGCCGCAGCCGGGATTTGAGCCCGCGACCTGCGGGTCAGCAGCCGAGTACCTTAGCCACTATAGACCACCGCGGTGGGGCAAGCACTGCTGATCACGAAAAGCGTAGTCCGGGACACTGCTACATAAACAAACTAAAGTGGATGACACCATGACTACTGTTGATGTTAACCTCAATGGACGAATGTATCGTTGTAGTGCATATGTAATGTTTAAAAAAATGGAAAGCCAGCACTGCAACACCAAATCGGTGCTTCAGGAACATTGGAGTCTATTTTAAGGTTATCTCTGAGACCTGGCCTGGCTGTGTAGTAAAATACTTGATTGCCACGTATAGAATGCTAGGGTTTGACGACTCTGCTGGGACAATGACATTTATTCTTTGCATTCGTACAATCCACGCTGCCGATGTCCACTTTTTCTTAACGACCAAGCGCTAAAGTTACACATATGTGCTCTCGTCGTTCCTGGGTAGAAATAAACTGTCAAACACCTGTGGCACCTTCCGCATACTAGTGACGCATACCCGTCCTGGGCATCTGCCATTGTTTTTTGGAAAGTGTTGGACAACGTACTTGACGAGATTGTAACATTATTTATGTCATGACCAACCAGTCGTATTTGTTAGAGCAGTTCACCCTCCCATTCTCATTTAGGTTTACACCAAGTTAAGGGGTTGATCATGGGAGCACTGTGACGTGCTGGATATATATATATATATATATATATATATATATATATATATATATATATATATAGATAGATAGATAGATAGATAGATAGATAGATACGCTCGAAGCCATCGAAGCTCGCTAAGAAATGCTTCACATTTAAAACGGTCCTGGACAAGGCAATAGTGCGGAGGCAAGATAACCGCTAATCATGAAGGATTACAGACTGGATTCTAAATGAAGGCAAGCGGGTGAAAGGGAGACACAAACTTGATCAAATAGTCAACGTCGTGCCGAATGAACAACCCCACAGAGAAAGAAACACACACAGACACCACGGGCACCCGTGGAGTCTATGTGTGTTTCTTTCTCTGCTGGGTTGTTCATTCGGCGCGACGTTGACTATTTGATCAAGACATGCACCAATTAGCACAACAGTGAGTCCTACTAGACAGAAACTAAGGTGGGCAGATGATATCTCGAAGTTTGCGGGTATAAAGTGGCAGCAGCAAGCACAGGACCAAGTTGACTAGCGGAACGCGGGAAAGGCCTTAGTCCTGCAGTGGATGTATTCGGGCTGATGATTGTGATGAATTCCTGCAAAAAACAATCAGCGTAGCCTGCTCTGGTAGTTCGATGCCAAGAGGACAGATGAATTGATGAGCTCTATGTAGTCCTGGCTCTTGCTATTTTTCAAAGTTTTGCAAGCTTTTTTTCTTTCTCTGTTCTGGTGTCTCCCTTGTCACTGCCTTCCATGCATCTCTTGTTTAGTCGCGGTTTATTTCTATATTTTTCTCAATTTTTAAAAATTAATTTTTCTTCTCTCTTTTATTGTTCTCTCTCTCTCTTTCTCGCTTCCTATTTTTGTATATAATTGTCTCAATATTTCTATTCATTTGATTGTTTCTGTTTCTGTCTTTTTTCTCCATCTGTTTTTAGTTCTTTAAAGTTGCTCGTTCTCATTCTTTCTACGCCGTGCATTACTATATCCCCTCCTCCTCACCATCACATCTGTCTGTTTCACCCTAACTTTTCCTTTCCAGCATCTTGATGTACTTTACTATCAAAGCTATTCCACGTTCCGCTATCGTTCCTTGTTGAACTTTAGAAAGCGCAGTCGTTTGTATCTGAGTGGTTGTCGAGGGTGGAACCCTTGAAATCACCCAATGTACACGAGTAAAGTATCAATCGTCACACAATGCTGATTGCACAGTCAGTGTGTGGCTCCACGCTTGCCGCCCATCGCAAAGGGCTCAGCCGGAATTGTTCATCGTCGTGAGTCGCATGCAGCATCAACTCTTTACAGATGTGTAGCGTGTAGATCACTTATCCAAGGAAACACGAATAATGCTGTAGTGCGTGCTGTCATACTTCACAAAAATTATGATTTATGACGCAGTTGACATCTTGCTTAAATTCAAAACTTCAAACAAAATTGTGACCGCCCCAACACGACGCTAAGACCAGAGTTCACATTAGACAATATTGTAATCATCGTTGAATTTTATAGTAATTCCTGGCTCAATTGCCACTTATGTGAATGACTATCTCTAGAGTCTCGCTGACTTTTATTGTAGACTATTACAGCCTCGTAAAGAAGTAGAAGTGAGGTAACGTGTCTGTTAAAGAGAATCATGATGCATGAGGCGATTCAGGACTCATCGAGATGACTGACGCAACCTTCTGTGTGCTATTGTAAAGATTAGCAACATGCCTTGGCCAGCATGCGGTCTCCGAAGTACTAACAATGTTTGTGCGCAATATTTTTCAGAACTATAATAAGCAAGAAGTCTGTGGTCTCGTCTCCACAATACTATAGCAGCACGTGACCCATGGATAGTTTCATCATTCAAAACAATGAATATTTAGAAGTATTGACAAGAACAGCCAATAAAGCCAACTTAAGATAGTTAATACGTTGTGCTACATTTTTTTTTTGGATTCAAGGAACTATTCTTTAATACATGGGCGAAAATCTGGAAAGATAGGAGCCTTTTCCTGTCAAATTTCAGAAGGTCCACGATGGTCGTCCATAGCGACGAAAAGGATTATGTAGTTGATGAATTGCTGAAATATTTGTGTTGCCCACAAATGCTGTCCACACCAAGCTAAAAACAAGCTAAAAGCAAGCATTGCGCAGCAAGACCTTATTGCATTATGCCCGATTGAAAGAAGGACGAATTGTGCGATATGACCGCTAGACACCAATGCACAGCATGTACTACTCTAAATGCAGCATATTTCATAAGTACGCAAATATATGCAAGACATTGTTACGCAGCACCATAACCATAAATTAGTGCGGTGCTTTCCAAAAGAATGAAAATAAAAACGAGTGTTTCATGAAACGCTGGCGCGTGTGGCTCTTCAGCCGCTTTGTTTAGTTAATGGCTATAGCCTTGTAAATCTTGTTACGGTGAGATGAATTTATTTACGAGAGATGATGAATGCGAGAGTCCAGGGATCTGGTAGATCACCGCTCGTGCCAACCTCGTTCTCCTCTTCTTCCACGAGTCTCCTCAGTATCGTAGCAATTCCCCCTTAGCAGACGATGCCCACCGGGCGACTTAGGCTTCGTTGCGATGATGATAGCGCTTTAAACGGGTGACATGAACGACGTTGGTCTTGCTTGAGCGGCGGCCAGTTGACAACAGCCGAGATATCACGTACGTGACATCGCTCAGACGTTCCAGGACAACAAACGGACCAGTGCAGTTGGCCAGAAACTTTTGGCAGAGGCCGCGCTTGCGAAGCGGCGTCCAAAGCCACACCAAACACCTTTCTCAAACCATACGTGCCGGTGACTTCTGTCGTAACGGTTCTTAGAGCTTTTCTGGGAGAACGAAGTTCCGAAGACAGGCGATTCGTCGGGCCTCTTCTGCGCGGCAAATGGTTTCCGGCAGAGTGTTGATCGGTTCTCGAAAAAAGGAAGAATGTGTCAGGAGATGTAAGGGTGGTCGTGCGTAGGCAGATAAAAATGGACTGTATCTCGTTGTTTCCGGTGCTGTGCAGTGTTGTAGGCGAAAGTTATAAAAGTGCAAGATCGGTCCAATGTTTTGTGTCTGGAATCTAGCATACATGGAAATCATGTGACGACGAGCCTATTAGTTCGTTCCGTCAACTCATTAGCCCTGCGGGTGTGATACGGCAGTAGTGTGACGGAAAATGGCACAAAGCGAGACGAAGGAGGTCTTTTTAACACATTAATAACATGTTTCTTATTTTTTATAACATATTTAATTTATAACATATTTCTTTAGCCTCTGTCACGATATATACTATATAGAAGACATCTTCTCGAAATAATTAACTCAATTATTTGAATCGAATCAATTCCTTGAAGGAAGTGTTTCAATTCAAAAATCAAAATTACCTATAACATAAACCTGTGCTTCTCCGCTTCGCAGGACTATAGGCTGCAACAATGTTCCAATGCTTCGTCTATAGGCTCCATCCTTCTGTCTATTGCTATTTATTGTCCTCATCGGCTGCGCGAGCTGACAAACGGCTATTCGTCAAACAATTGAAATTTTTACTTCACGAAAACAAGATTTGTTTCATGTCCAATTTTTATATCCACGAGTGATATTATACGATTGTTCATGCTGCTTATGAGATTCATTCAAGGAAAAAAAAGACATTATGTCCACTAGCCAGCGTTCGAGGAAATTTTTAATAATAGCGATACTGCTATGTTGTTCAATGAAACCAAGAACCTTCTTTGCTGGCTACCAGCCAATATATACGTACCCGCGCTTTTTGCGCTGGCTACAGAAGTGATGAGATATTACGAAGTCCACATTTTCTTAATTCGATCACACGTAAAAAGGAAAATATGGAGTCGCCAGAATCCTGGACATGAAGTTTACGTGCAATTAAAAAAAAAAACGAACCTGCGAAAGCTTGACATTCAGCCAAATTTCCACCCACTTCATGCCACCGCTTCCACAACAACACTTGTACCATAGTTATTCGCCGGATGACGATTAAGCTCCAAAGTGTGAGTGTGCTTTTAGGAATAGCCACGACTTCCCGAGTATCCTAAAACTTAGAAGAATCATTCTGAACAAGAGCCATTTTACGATTTGTGAATAAAAGAGAAACATTTAAACAAATTACAATAGAAATTAAGGAATTTGAAGCTAAAATAAATCACCCCCCGCAGGATATGCAAAACAAGCGAGCTTTGAAAGGGGCCTTCGTTTTGCAGTGGGGATCGTTGATCGCATTAGCGATATTGTCACTTTTTGCTCTATGTGGTGTCGTTTCTAAGTAACTTGTAGGCGTTGTTATAGATTAGAGAAAAAGAGGAGGACATGAAAAAAAACATTATGGAGTTACGTTACCATCGTTACCATCAGTAGGTTAACGTGACGATGCAATGTTCCGGTAATATAAGTGCTAGCCTAACGTAGCATGAAAATGTGAGGTGTTGAGATCCGTCAGAAAGAAATTAATATGTATGGTGCAACAGCATGGTTACATAAATTGAGCCATGTAAATTAACAGTAATAAGCTAAAGTGTTTAAGTGTTTCACCGCTTACAAGTTCATCGGACAAAATGTTACCGGATGTGATTTTCCATGACCAGAAATCATCTTTTAAATTATGGTATCTGATCGCGAGTCACAAAACATGGAAATCTGCAGATATACAGGCGCATATTCTGCCATGACACCAAAAATTATATGGACACGTTCGGCGGATTTTCGCTGTCACCTTCATGTCGCGGATAACTCAGAAGAAGTAAATTACGAAACGCCCGACAGCTCATTCGGACCAACGACCTCTTGCTTCGCAGCGCCATGTGTTAGACAGCCGAACCATGCGCCATGAATGCCCCAGCGTAACAACGAAGCTCTATTCATTTACAACATTTACCTCACGTAGTATGCAAATCTTGGAGGAGCTTGGGCGTGTTTTCTATCACGCAATTTTCCAACAGTTTCTTTCGTTGTGAGTACTGCCCTTGAGACGCGCACAAACGTGCTCCCTTTCTGTACCCATGCACTCATAACGTAGGAAAAAAAAACAAACAGACGGGAACATCTCTGGTCAGACGCCACCACACGACGGGAGAAACAGAAGGAGCACTCTACGTGCCACAGTTTAAAAGAAAAAGAGCGTGAGGTTCTGCTCGGCCGACCCTTGCAGCGCGTTACTCAAACACAAAGACGTAACTGCGACTGTCCATGGTTAGTTAATCCTTGTTCGGTGTATACCCGTTCATTCTTGTCGAGCGTCCTTCTTTGCGCTTCAGCAATGCTCTAAATGTATCTAACTGCTTGTTATTGTTCGTGTGACCCTCAGATTTCTTGCTATCGCATTGATTTCTTCACCTGGCCTGGCTGCGAAACTGTAACTTTGTATGGGGACAAAAATTGTGAACGCGTATCTGCTCACAAACACCATCGTAAACTGTCCTGTGCACTGTATACTGATAATTCCATAGGCACAGCACAGCTCTTGGGAACCGCAGTGCCCCCGAGGCGCTGTGCTTTGCTTCAGCCACATCTGTGCAAAGGGCCGCTGATGACGACAATGTTTGTAGCATTGTTACTTTTCAGCATAAAAGAAGCACTTGAAAGTTTGCAGCTGCTTCTGCTCACATACGTTCCAGCCACATGTTTTCTTGCGAGGCGTTTCACTCCATTGAAATCGGTGCCGTCAAGCTGGAAGAGGACGTTATTGAGAGAGAGAATAAAACGGCAGCTTTAGTATTGTGCCCTTCTAACAACAATGCCAAGGGGTCTTTAGGTGTAGGTGCTGGCTACGGTACAGTGCCGCGAGTCCGACATGCATAAATGCCCTGTCAGTTGAATTGTATGGGCTGACGAATATCGTAAGGTAGGCCACAATGAACGTTGCTTTGATAACCTTGGCACTTCTCGCCGTCGTAATCGTAATGACGGAAATGGAGCTGGCTAATGCAAGTGAGTAAACCTCGAGGTCATCACCTGCCATTTCAGGTTTGCACGAGTTTTCTAAACGTCATGCAAAATAACTTGCCCACTCTCAGAAGCTTCAGCTTTAGGCAGTGCAGTGACGTCGTTCTGGATGTTACCTTGGGCGCAGTTCTGGCTTGACTGGGTGAACTGAAATGAAATGATGCAGGAAATAATATCACAGGGTTGGTAAAAAAGTTGCTACTTACACAACTTTTTGACATCTCTCTAGTGGCTGGTAGGCAGGAACCTTTTGTGGCAAAATGTAAGAGAACAGGAAGAAATAAAATACACGGGCCTGATTTCGGTTGGCATCAATGATACAATGAGGCATAGCGCACGCAGACGCACGCGCATTCGAGAAGAAATTTTCGCTAGGTGAGCTAGTGCATGTCTGTAGTTGGAATAGTTGTGCATATACTCGGACGAACAAAGTAAGAAACACACAGGTAGACGGAAAGAGCCTGAATAGTTATTAATTGACTTTATTCATTTCGTTGTTGCATGCAAATGCTTTTGTTCACACGTCCCAAATAAATGAAAGGGCGGCGGGGGGTGGGGGTGGAAAGCAAAGAGGAGGAAACACATGCCAAGAATACCTGACGTCAGCATAAGCTGAACAGAATATAGCTTTTTGCGCAATATTCAAGCCTTGCGTCAATTAGCGCAAGCTGATCTTTTTTTTCTTCTTTACTGCAGGAGAAAATATAGCACGTCAAACATTCAGCGTAATAAAATGTTGCCACGTGTTTGCTCTCTGCAGCGTTACCTTACTAAATATCAGAAAGATATTAGGAGGCTTCGGGACCGTGTGATCGTTACACGGCAGTTTTCCTCTATGTGGAAGTGTTAGTTTGTAACAACTTTTTACTACGTGTCCACACAATCGTATTCCAATAATGGGGACAGGTGGATACTATTCACTACAGACAAGTCTTACAACGCAACTAATCGGAAACGTTTCATATG